CTTCAAACCACTATTTTTCTATTGTTTACCGCTTCCCGAACAGCAGCGATTCTTCCATTTTTGATATTCTATCTTACAACATTGAGACACTTGTGGTAACAGATCCTAGCAGCGAAATCATCATTGTCGGAGATTTCAATGTCCACAACAAGGAATGGTTCAAGCACTTCTCAGACANCTAAGTCAACTAGCTGACCTCCCTGCACACATCCCTGATCGTAATGGTGACCGCGACCATACACTTGATCTGAATCTCACATTCATTTCCTCTTATTTCTCCAACATCATTTTCTTTCCCCATAAGGCTCATCGGACCACTGTCTCTCTTCTTCTCATTTCACTCACCCCCATCTTCACTACATAACTCCCGACGCACCTTTTGGCGCTACGATTTAGCCAACTGGGACGATTTTCGTGAGTTTCTGGCCTGTTACCTCTGGAAGGATTGTTGTTTCAAATATGTTGTTTCCACTTCTGTTTTAAACTTCACAAAAATTATTCTTCAAGGTCCGGACGGTATTCCACCTATCATCCTAAAAATGTGTGCCTCGGAGTTAGCCTCTGTTGAACGCCGTCTTTTCTTCACTCGATCTCAAATCTTTCTCTACTCCATGGAAAAATGCCATTAATTTTCCTATACCAAAGTGCGGCAATCCTTCTGACCCCAAAGATTATCGTCCCATCACTCTCACTTTGGTAGTTTCGAAAGCGTTCGAAACCACTTTGTCCGACGAGCTGCGTACGTTACTCGAATGCGAAAGTTTGTCAGTATGGAATCCCCGTCATCGATCTATGAGTGATCTACCGGCGCTCACATCTCATTCCTGGTCAACTGCACTCGATAATCACGGAGAAACTCGGATGATGTCACTCGACATTTTAAAAGCTTTCGATTGCATTTAGCATTAAGATTTGCTGTCGAAGTTACCCACGTTCGGATTCCACCCGTCTCTGGTATCGTGGCTTCGTTGTTTCCTTAGCAAGCGAACCATCTCCGTCCGAGTGGATAGGGCTTCACCTCGGACACTCCTCCCTTTGAATGCCGGTGTTCCCCAAGGTTCAATTCTCTCGTCCACCCTCCTTTTATTTATCAACGATCTATTTTCCAAAACATCCAATCCCATCCACCGCTTTGCCGATGATACCAATCTTCATTGTTCTCTTTCTTACCCCACACTTCATTAGGACATTACCAATATCGATCACGATCGTAATGTTATCAGTGACTCTCGTGCTTCCGATTTCGGACTAATGTCCGCATGGGGTTTTATCAACCATGTATTTCAATGCTTCCAAAACTTCTCTCCTGTCTCTCCGAAACGTGTGCCTTATTCTCCACAATTGATTCTTGACTCGCCGCCCCTTCGTTCCACAAATTCTCTTTCCCTCCTGGGTTCGTCTATTAATTTATCTTCACTGTTGGTCCACTTTTACTTCCAAACTCGCCTCTCGCGCTGTGCGCAAAGTCGGTTTTCTATTCGGCGTTGTGTTTCTTTACACCCAAGCACCTTCTCCTTTGATACAAAGCTCAAACCCGCTCCATGCTCGAATACTGCATTCACGCATGGGGTGGAGCTTCGTATTCCGCCCTTAACTTAACTCGCTCCAGTAAAATACAACACAGTGAGGAACGCCACTGCCCAGTTCTATTCATGTTTATCTATGATGCTCGTCGTAAGAACGTTACATACCTCACAGCACATTTCACTGGTTTCAAAAAAGCTTTGAATTTACAGGATTGAAATGGAGCATTTGTAGGAAGATGAAACGACACTTAAAAATAAAGTTTTAGGTGTACTTCAGCCCCACCATGCATGATCATCGACAAACAGGCTTAGTGTTGGTGCTTTAGCTCTCCGGTGCATCAAGCAGACCTTATTTGTCAATAAGAAACAATTATTTTCTCCGTCTAAACATATTTGTAGTCCTGACAGAATACATCTGATTGTCAGGGTGGTGGTAGAGCGATAGTTCAGTTGCTGCCCCTGGCGTGCCTTGGATCCCATTGTCCGAGGTTGGAGACCGGCCACTGCCACCCAACTTTGGTGGTAAGCAGCTTTGCTGTCGTCTGGTTCAATGCCACACCTAACCTAGCGGAACCTTATGGGGTTCTTCACTCCAAGTTCCGGATACTATGAGATCCACACTGTCTGTTGTTCATCACACAAATGTGTGTAAAAAAACGTGTTGCAGGACATTGTTCGCTTTCAGCATGAACAATCTGACCAGCCTGAACGGGTCCTATAAAACCATTGGTTAAGTCGTTAGATTATGAAGTTTTTTCGATCGTATTGCATAGGAGAAAATACATTGAAAAAATACCAGTAGGAATTGGCAGTCGGTGTTTTCAAATATGAAATTCATACACTGTTATTCTTCTGCTGTGTATAATTCATGGGGCATTCAACCGTGACTCATGAGAAGAGTGAAGTCTCATCTCAGTAACGTGGTTATTGTGGGAAAAGATGTCAAGTTCTGAAAGTCTCCGCATGTTCACGAATAGGCGTATTGGATTACGAGAAACCACTTTCTCTGCACCTCGTTAAATGCTCTTTTACTATAGAACCTCTAAATTAGTTTCTGATGAACCCGCACTCACCGCCAAATGGCGGTGTTGCTGTACGGAGTCATAACCAAGTCGGTGGACTAACAACAGTTCAGCAGCTCAAGTAAGAATAACACACACTCGTTCTAGCAATATGTACCGGCTTGATTGGACACCGAAGTGTAATGGTCACCTTGGATGTTTGATTTCGTCATCTGATGTACTGGGTACTAGCCACTTTTGTACACCAATCCTTTGTCTCGCGAGTCACACTAGCTAGCCGAAGGATTCGTTTGAGCTTAAAAGCAAATTCCTTTACTTCCGTGTGAGTAACCTGGTAGGATTCCGCTAAAAAGAAGGTCTTCATCACCGCACATGGAAATACAGTGCAGCGAAATTCGACGATCGCTACCAAGCCTACAATGTACGCAGTAAATGAGAGGGTGTAAAAAAGAACAGGGATAAGACCTGCCTGGAGGGAGAAAAGGAAGTGAATATGTGGACAATGTAGTAGAATTTCCAAGTGAGCATACACTTCCTTCGAAGCATTCTAGTTTGGTTAAGGATCAAAAACTGTTTGTTGTCCGTTCGTTGCCATATCCTTCAATGTCGGCCATTCTCCAGTTAACCTTTCGCACCCGAACCTGGAATACAAGATGCCAACGCAACGTAATCGCCGTGTATTTTTTACATGCCTTTTATCCACGTCATCTATTGACCCCCAGGGAATTTCCTGTAGTTTGAAGCAGCAACCGTGAACGATTCGCGGTGCGGCAGAGGACAACCTGGACATTCGCAATACGTGCCCCAAATCACACAAGCCTATCAATCTGAATTAGATGTGACAGCGGATTTGCAACTGTACCAATACCAAACACTTATCGGATTACCTTGCTCGTTCCATTCAGCCTACATCACGTAAACATCAACAGAATTAAATACTATCAACTGTTGAAGACCGGTAAACCATGAACGCTCACCACGCACATATTATATATATATATATATATATATGTATATATATATACATATATATACACTCGGCGCTGGGTAGCAGAAGCCACCCGTTGATCCTGGGATTCTTAGCTTTGGTTCTATGAGGATTGTTGCCTCTTGA